TCCTAAACAACGTTATAAGTATATAACATGTAAATACAAGTAAAGAACGTTTTACACTGTCACTTGTATACTTAAAATCAATTTACACTGCACAGTACCTGCGAACGCAATAACGTAGAGATAATGACGTCAAAGAATACTCAGCTTGTCAGTTCCCCCTCTAGTTTGAACCCGTTAAGTCATGATATAATTATACAATAATTTCTATTACTCCACCCAAATGCTGGCATCTTGTCAAACATACACAACATGTCTGAAGACCTGATATTTGTTAAATGATAAATGTTAGTATCCTCCCAATTTCGTTCTAAAACCTGTATCTTGGTCAAACTAGTATTGAATTGTGCTTATTGAGCTAGCATTTAAAGAAGGGAATAATTCATCAAGAGTTGTCTTGCTAGAAAAGTCTTATATATTTTGCCAACGACCTGTTCACGTCGCGGGATCCCAAATGCGCCAATATCTGTCGGAATACATTTAACTGGGAATGACTAAATCCGTTTGTGGTCCGGGTTCATTGCCACGACTTGTTTAGTTTTCTGCCAATAATATCATCAGTGGCTCGGTGAAGTTTCAGTTGCAGTTACCAAACAAGATCGACGATGAATACCACCTCCCTGCTGACGCCTACTTTTTTATTTATTGCGCCCAATATCCAACACAATGTGTGGAGTTTTTTTTCAGATTTGTTCTCCTATATAGATCTCAATACATGCGGCACGCATTTTCTATTTGTAAACACTATATTTGTAAGGTAACGTACATTTCACTACAAAAATAACGTGACAAATTGTATCACGTTGAATGACATCAGTTTCTGGGGCAAATATGTGATACAGTGTTTGATAACCAAATTATAACTTGGGACATTATTCATATTTATCGACCGTAACCTATTTCCCCAGCAGACCGTGTAAATATGGTAACGTACATTTCACCAAATATTGGGTTAAGGACTTATATTTGAAAAAAAATATAATAAATAAATTTCATATTAACCTAAAACGGCGAGAATATACAATAGTGACTGCTCCATGGTGCCTACTACTTATGAAGTTCTAAATAAAAGAAAATAAGTGCCTCTTTTGCAATGGAGAATGTCGAACAAATACATGTGTTTATAGATTTGGGGATCTGGATCTGAATAATCCTTTTGTTATTTTGTGATAAAGGCTAATGTAATTAGGTTTTAATGAACACCGGAAGGTGTCACCTGAACATATTCTGCGAACGCATTGTTTTAAAAATACAATTCACCATGGAGATGTGCGAGTTAATAGTATTTGATGCGATTTAAAAATAAAACGTGTAGGCTACTGTTGTAAATATACGGAATATAAATAGTATTTGCATACACCACACGGTTTTAGAAATAGTCATTGTTGTTGACGAAGAAATCCGTATTCAGGTAATTGTAATATCAGAATGTTTGATATCGCTATATAAGATAGGTTGATCAGTAAACCATTTAATTGAATCATTGATTGTTTGAATGGGTAGTTAGTTAACTGATATAACGTGACCTTGCATAAAATGTTGTGTTTTCCCTGGTAGTATGTGCCAAAAGATTGCCCTTTAAATATTTACTATTATTTACATTCAAATCCTTCAACTACTATATTTCTACTCCATCCATCACAAGAGCTACACTGTACAGCTGAAATAGCACAACATAGCGATATCTATGAGGCTACATGTTGAGAAACACGCGTGTTCTCATATTAAATTAGCTCGGAAATAACTAGAGCTAAACACGAGGCTAGTATTGTGTAGGTCACCGGCAATAAGTCATTGTACGCTGTTTTAGGCAGTGCGTTGATATATGGGAGTAATGAAAGATGTGAAGTTCAAATCGTCCATGATTTTGAAGTTGAAAATATTCATAAAATATAATGTAAAGAATAAGTCAGCGAATTACGACTGATTAGAGTGTGTGCTATGCTGATGTTGTGGGTTTCATACTCACCAAAGTTACACTGACTGCAGTAACCCAACCAGAAGGAACCCAAGTTTGTGGTGATAAATTGTCATTGACTAGCAGTTTTTTCTGGCTTCTAGTTACTATTCTTACTGGGGTAGAATTTTAAAATTGCATCCCGATTGAGTGGAACCATATGTTGTAGTGATGGCATCAGTTTACTGGATTCACCAACAAGTGTAGTAACAATTATACATTTTATAGACCAAAGTCAGACTTACCACCTTGACTGGTGCTTACTGAAAATGAGGTTAGCTGTTTAGAAATTTGAAGGAATCTCACTCCCTGGTATTATTATTATTATTTTTTTTTTTTTAATAAAATTTTATTTTCTAATAATGTTTACATAACAGTAAAAACGTCACAGACACGACATACAAAACATTACAAAAAAGTTTAGTAGTTTATTACAGGGGATGATCATTACAACAACGATGCCAATGCACCCCATTTTAAAACGTACTTTGTTTCGTTCAAGACATTTTTTCAATAGATTTGTTTTCTTTGACAATCTTTATAAAATATTCAAGAGAAGGCGTCACATTTGTAAAGCGGCAGATATATAAAACATATTTACCTATTAAAATAAGATGGTTTAATAGCATACATTTTTGGGGAAATCCAAAGAGAATACGTTCACAACTTTGAACTATATCATCACTTCCTGGTATAGCCCCCCAATAGTTTTGAAATAATTTCCAAAACGAAATTGTGGTTGTACATTCCCAGAAGAGATGTTCAATTGTTTCTTTTTATTTACAATATTTACAACAATTGTCCAATCGGATTTTATTTTATTTTGGAAAAGATAATTGTTGGTTGCCAAAATTCAATGCAATATTTTGAAATGAAAAATGCGCAGTTTTGCTTCCATTGTGGTAACGTACGCCAATTTTCAGATACATCTCCAATCAATTGCATCACTCACATATACAGTTGCTTCATATTTAGACATGGATGTTGGCGTTTCAAAACGTTTTTCAACTAATAACTTATAAAAATCTCTTGTTTTACCACCAAAAACTGTATCATTTATTTTTTTACTTAAATTCGCATTGATATTTCCAGCAACTAATTTGGAGTTCCAATAAACTAGAATTGCGTGCAGAATACCATTAAAAGTTACAAAATCTGTCTTAATTGTGTATTTCTCTATAAATTGTTCATATGACATAAAATTACCATCTGCATTTAATAAATGTTGTATGCACTTTACCCATTATTTACCCAGTGTAAATAACACACGTTTTTCCACCAATTAAAATGTATCTATTATTCCACAGTATTTCTGACCTCATTTGAATTAATGGGTGGGCCATGACAGAATAGTTCATACCAAAAACTTAAAATGTCAGAATAAAAAGCTGGTAAAGAAAAATGCATTTTGTCAGGATCATAATTACAGCTCAATAAACATTTCAAGCGCCCATATCTACTAAAATAGCTCCTTGGAATAACTACCCATGATGCATTTGTTTCCATTATCCTTATAGCCCAAGCTAATTTGAATGCTTTGTTTAACAACTCCAAATCAGTCATGCGCAAACCACCATATTCAATATCCCCAATTAAAGTGTTGTTTTTATATGGTGTCTTTTCCCGTTTCACAGAAAACCAAATAACCTAGCCCGGGCTTTGGACACACATTTTGGCGGAATAGAATTGGAGTTCATTACAAAAAGCAGATTAGTAGCCCCAAAAACCTTTGCAAGTGTAACTCTTCCACCAATAGTCAGGTCACGTGACTTCCATATGCCAAGTTTTATATTCATTTTTTTCAATTTTTTGGTGGAAGTTAAGCTCTAAATTTTTCTTAACATCATGACCTATATAAATTCCCAAGTAACGGATTGGTTTTTGGGTGGGGGCTATTACATCCATCTTTTGCCAATTATGTTTAAGTTTACCCAACACAAGTAGTTCTGTTTTACCCATATTGATTTCTAGACCAGAAAAATCATGAAACTGTTTTAGAATGGATAGAGCAGTACGAACAGAATTTTGGTTTCTCATGCAAAGGGTTGTATCATCTGCAAAGCCAGATATTTTTGTTCATGCTCATATGGCAAAATAATACCATCTATTTGGTCACATGATCGAATGACAATAGCCAACAACTCTATGGCAATTACAAAGAGAGCTGTGGACAACGGACAACCCTGTCGGATGCCCCGATATAACTTGAACCAACCTGATGAATGCCCATTATTAAGTACACAGCTTTCAATATTGTTATAAAATACAGAAACCCATTTCTTAAAAGAATCGCCCAAATTGAACAAGTCGAGAGCTTTATGCAAGAAATCCCATTCTAGGGTATCAAAAGCCTTTGTAAAGTCAACAAACAAAAGTGCTCCCGGTTGACCACTATTTTCACAGTAATCAATAATATTTGTAATAAGTCTGATAATTTTCTACCTGGTATAAAAGCAGACTGGTTTTCATGAATAATGGAGGGTAAAATATTTTCAAGCCATTTAGTCCATGCATCTACTTGCAATTTTGTAATCTGCATTGAGCAGCGATACTGGTCTCCAATTATGCAAATCAGTCATGCTTTATCAGTTTTGGCAATAAAGTTATAACAGTTTGTTTTGTGTGGTAAGACATGACA